CTCCCCCTCCCGGACGCCGGCCTCGCTCCGCCGGGCCCTGCGCGCCTGCTGTTTGTGAATGAGACGCTCAGTTTCTCAATGGAGCCGTGGAGGGCTCGCGCGGCCGCGGGGCGGCCACAGCGCTGGCAGTGAGCCGGGAGGGGGGCGCATTTTTCTAGCTCCCTCCTTCCTTCCCTCCTTCTCGCCGCCGCCGCTTTTGAGGAACCGGGCGGAAAGGCGGCCGCGGAGGTCGCCGGGGCCCGCATCCCCGAGGACGCCCCGAGCGGGCGGCCTGGAGGCTCTGTCACATTTGCGGGCGCCGGAACGCGGCGGAGCGAGCCGGACGCGGAGGAGGCCGGTGGTCTTCGGCACATTTATGCCACGGCTCCTTCGCTGCGGGCTTGCAAAGTTCTCTAGTTCATGTTTGCTTTTTTTAAAAAAAGCCGATTGACTAGTGGCTCCTCGCCTACACTTTTTTTTTTTTTCCGGGAGAGGAGGGGGAGTGTGAGGCAAAGAGAGAAGAAAATAAAAAAAAAGGATTTCCGTCCAGAAGGGAGCGACAGTTCTGAGGGATTTTTTTTTTTTCACACGAAAACAGGAGCGGCGTTTGCGGCCGCCGCGGGCGCGGGCCGGGCCGGCGGGACCATGCGCGAGCGGGCCTCGGGCTGCTGAGCGCGGGACGCGGAAGCAGAGGCGACCTCCCGGGCTGCCCGCGCGCCGGGGCGAGTTCTGTCCGCGGGCGGCGGGATGGAGCCCGCGACCGCGCCCCGGCCCGACATGGCGCCCGAGCTGACCCCCGAGGAGGAGCAGGTAAGCAGGGCTGCGGTGGGTGTGTCCGGCCTCCCCCTCCGAGGCCTACGCCGGCCTCTGCCTCCGGAGCCCCGCACCGGCCCTGCCCCGGCGCCGGGGCCCGCGGGGTGCCTTCTCCCCCCCCGGCGACCGCGCCCAGTGTCGTCATCCCCTGAAACGGGGGGCGCCGCTGGACCCTGCTCTTGCCCCTTGCCTCTTTTGTCCCCGAAGCTGTGGGCCTTAATTAGCCCGCATTAGCCGGGAGGTAATTAAAGTTCCTGGAACTGGGGTGGGGAGAGGGGTGTCTCCCTTCCCCTCCACCTCCTCGTTTGCAGAACACCCAGTTGCTCCAGCACTTCCACTCTGCATCAGTGTTTTGCTGCTTTCCGTGAGGGTTTGTGGGTTGTAAGGGCAGGAATAGCCCCAGTCTGGGGAGTGTGTTGGGCACTGGGTCATGATGCCCTGGATCTTCACATGAGCCCTTCTCTCCTGCCAGAGAGCTGTGGCGGCGCTGCTCGGGGCAGATGCTGGGAGATCAGGCCTTCTCTTGCTCCCCAAGTCTCTGGTCTTGGCGTCCCTGTGCAGCCCTCCCAGTCTGAGCGCATCCCTTCACCCACACACTGCCCTAGCCCCCGTCTCCTCTGACTGCCTCAATCTTTCTGATGAAGTCTAGATTGAGCTCCATTGTCCCCTAAAGCTTATGATCGTCAATCCCCAGTAGGAAGTGGTTTGTGGTATTAGTTTGGGGGCTTAAGGAAAGGAAAAGGCCAGGGCCCCATTATAATTTCTCCTCCCCCACATTCCAGCTGTGGAGACAGTCCACTCCTTGGGAAGCTGGGAGAGCCTGCTAACCGAGAGTTACCCGCTTTTTTCTGTATCTTTCCTGGGCACTGCCCATACTCATCCTTAGCTCTGCTCCAATATAGCCATAATGTGATTGAGGGGTGTGTTTTTTTTTTAAAAAAACTCAAAACAGAAGTCAGCGTGAGCAAAGAAACATGCAAAGCCTTGTTCCCAAGGACCACATTTGTCAGCACAGTTTCCAATGTGGACACAATCTAGTAATGGGCTTAAGATCTGATTTTTTTTTTTTAAAGTGCCTTTGACTTTTCTCCTCGTTTGTGGAGGTATTTTTCATCCTTGGCCTCAGATCTCAGGTCTTCTCTTTTTGATGCTTTGCGATAAAATCAGCATGGGGAGGAAAAAAAAAAAGAATTCTGCTGCGTATAAGAAGTGGTCACATCCTGGTAACTGCAGTTGAGTGTTAATGAAACACCAGCCAGGGCCTGATGTCAACAGATGGTGGAGAAGCCCATCCTGTCAGAATTAGTGAAATACGTCAATACTGGGGTATGATGTGGTGGTGTTGGTTGTTGTTAGCACATACTTAAGGCACGTTGCTCACATGCTTCCTAGAAACCTTTCCTTAGCTTTTTATAATAGTGGTCTTAGACAGTATTTGTTCACTGAGCCTATGTTCTTCAGATTTATCCATATTATACGGTTTCTTGAATTCTTCATTATTTTTTAGCGTTGCATAGTACTTTATTGTATGATTGTACTATAGATTCTTTAATCATTCATCCATTGATGGATGTTGATGTTTCCATCTTTTGCTATTGTAAATGGACATGCATATGCAATCCAGTAGGATTGCTGGATCAAATGTTATTTTCATTTTCACCTTTTAAAGGAATTACCAAAATGCTTTTCATGGTAGTTGTACTATTCATATTCCCACCAGCAGTGTTAGGCTGATTTTGAAGGAGCAAACCTCATTCATCTTTTTTTTCTTGGGTTAGTCAGGTTTGAAGTTTCTATATTTCTGTAGCATTAAGTTTGCAAATTTAAAAATCCAGAGGTCTCTTAAAAAATAAATCCAGAGAAAGTGTTAAAATATTGAAAATGATATTAGCTTAATAATAATCTGTATATAGTGTATCTACCTAGAAGTGTGTTATTTAAGTAGAAAAAATGTATCTTTCATGTTAGAATCTCTGCATAGGCATTAAACAGGACTGGATAAAAGTAGTAAAATATATGTTAAGGTCAAGAGGCCATATGTTGTTTATTTTTAAAAATCAGATGTTTTCTACAGAATGCCACATTTTTTGAAGACTTTCACAGTGTTAAAATGCTAAGCACATTAGAAAGTAACCTATTCCTAATGAAGCCTGCTATCCTCATCTTTTAATTTATTATCACCTAAGGGTGTGCACACTTAACTATTAAGAATTATTTAAAATACTTAAAATAAACAGAAGCAAATGCACATGGGAAATGACACACTCGTTCCAAAATGTTGCCCCATTGCTCAAACCAATTTTGGAACAAGGACTGGATTTCAACTCTGTGGGAGAATCATTGAACTGTCTTCAGTGTTAGAAAATCCTTGTATTTTTAGATTTTAGAAATCAGTTTGACTTAGGAAAATAGAAAGGGGAAAAAAAGTCATAGCCTTACTAGGCTAAAAGAGACTGGAGGAATGCCTGAGACTGTGGCCCAGAGATACCTGCCATACCTAGAGCTAAGCCTCCTCCCCAAGATCACGTTTCAGCCAAACAGTAGGCAGACCTAGAAAGTGAACTACAGCAGTCAGACATGCTCAGAATGACCAACTAACCAAAAGGGGAGTCTTTGTCCAAAAACAGAGTTCAGAAGGCCAGAAAGATGGACAATTGGAAATAAGGAACTCAGGAAGTAGAAAGAATGCTGCTGCATTGCGAAGACTGCTGTTAATGTCATGAGACAAAACACGTTAATGTTACGTACTGTCGAGTCTACTGTGACCCATAGTGATCCTATGTACAACAGCTCTGAAGCCTGCCCTGCCTGAGCCAGTCTCACTAGTTCTAACACACCAACCCCATTGCCCCAGTTACTGTATCAGTCCATCTCATCTGGGGTCTTCCTCTCCTGGGCTGTCCATCCACCCTTCCGAGCATGATGTCTTTCTCCAAGGACCAGTCTCTTCTGACCATGTGCCCAAAGTATGTCAGATAGAGCTTCAAAATCCTCCTAGGAGTAACTTGGTTTCACCCTCTCTCTAGAACAGACCTATGTGAATTTTTATCCAGACCACAGTAGAATGTTGAGACAAATTCTTGGAATCCCATTTCATTGTTTGATGAAATTGGAACCAAACCATAGCTGACCCTCTGGCCTGTTTTCAGAGTCAGTAAACCACAGGGGAGGAGATTGTTCATCTTTGTTCTGTGAAAGAGCTGGTGGGTGCAAACTGTTAAGCTTTGCATTGGCAGGACCAATTGGCAGCATCAGGATGGATGGTGAAGAGACTGAGATTGTACACAGCTTTAGTTTGCTTGACTCCACAGTCAACAGTCTTGGCACCAGCAGCCAGGAAATTAAAAGGTGCATTGCCATGGGAAAGTCTGCTGTTAGGGACCTCTCCAAAGTACTGAAGAGCAATGGTGTCTCTCTGAAGACTAAGGTGCGTCTGATACAGGCCATGGTCTTAGCAATCACTTGTTATGCATCAGAGAGTTGGACAGTGACCAAGGAGGATAGAAGGAGAATTGATACCTTTGAGCTGTGGTGCTGGAGAAGAGTATTGGGAATACCATGGACTGCTAGGAAAACAAACAGATTTGTCCTGGAAAGGGTTAAACCGGGTGGCTCCTTGGAGGCAAGGATTCTGAGGCTCCGTCTAACATACTTTGGACATGTTGTGAGGAGAGACCGGTCCTTGGAGAAGACATCATGCTTGGGAGGGTGGAGGGACAGCGCAGGAGAGGAAGGCCCTCTATGAGGCGGATTGATTCAGTGACTGGGATAATTGGGATGGGAGTGTCAGAGACAGTGCGATTGGCACAGGACAGAGCGGAGTTTAGGGCTGTTGTACATAGGGTTGCTATGAGTTGCAAGTGACTCGACGGCACATAACAACAACAACAAAGCCAGCAGAGTGCTCTCATTTCATAGGTAAGGTAAGGGATTAAACTGATTTAACACAGATTCTGGAATAATAGAAATGTGTTTATTGATGCTTCCTACTCAATGGTAAAATCACAAACACCTCTTATTAAAGAAGCCAGAGCCAAATTGCAAATCTCAAATCTGATTGCATCTTTCCCTCAATCTCCCAGCCCTCAAAATAAGCTTTCATAGAACCTTCTTTGTTGGCTTTGTATTGTTCTTGTTAACTCTTTGCATCTCTTTAATAGGGTCCTTAATCTCTAGGCCCAATTTGTAGTGCCCTAGCTAATTCTCAGACTTCATTTCTGCTCCAGACTTACTGACCTTTTGGTTCTGCATTTTTGCCTTGTTTCCTTCTGTTACAGGGTCTTGGCACAAGTTTCCCTCTGTGTGGAAGTACCCCCTCCCAAACCTTGTTCATGCTTCAGCCCTCAGCTTTCACTTCCTCAGGAAGGCCTTCCTTCATCTCCCTAACTAGGTTATATCCCTTACTACTGCCTCTGCCAGAACCGTGTATGGTTCTTCACACAACTTACCACAGCACCAAGTTTACACTTGTGAGGTTACGTGACTGTAAGCTCTATGAGGACTTAGACTGTGTTCTAGTTAAAAGGACATTGCGGCGAGCTCTGGTGGTCTAGTGGCAAGAAGGTATACTGCAATCCTAGAGGTGCATGGTTCAAATCCACCAGATGCTCTGCTGGAGAAGGAGGAACAATCTCCTCCTGTACCTGTCAGATCTGATTTGACGGCACACACACACACTAATAAAATAAAAATTTTTAAAAAAAGGACATTGCACATTGTCTAGTGTGGTGATTGACACTTAATGAACATCCTGGAAGACTTGAGGAATGAATGAATAGTTTAAGTTGTGCACAGACAACATCTTCTGTCACAGTGACTATAATGATATTGTTCACCATATATGCTTTACTATATTTTTGTAGATCATCATCATTACTTCATGTCTCATATCCTGTCTACTCATGTGTTGAACTGATACAACCAAGTCCTTATTTGCAGCATTGACATTTCTTGATGTTACGGTTTTTAATTCTCAATTAAACAGCTTGCAATTGAGT